TGCTATTACGACATAATTCTGAACGATTCCGACAGATGGCGAGTGCGAATCAAAGTGTACTCTAGCCACTGCGCGTATGTTGGTATCCACGTTTTCGACTCAGTAGCCAACTGGAACAGCGTATCCTACTCTCTTGCTTTTGTCATATTCCGATTCGTCACCTACTACATGATGTACACGATTATATTCTTGATGTTTTTCGTCACGTGGTTGAAGAACAGGTACGATTTCTTGGACGGTTTGGTAAAGCGCTCGGTTCAGCGCAAGGTGGCGCAGTTTGTCGTGGTAACTGACGAGTTTCTGTACAGCTTGAGGGAGTTCTGTCACCTGTACAGGCTGATGCATAACGTGGTGCGAGAACTGAACGCTATATTCGGCTGGTTGATATTTTTCATGACGATTGGAGGTGTGTTGGAAGTTTTGAATGGCGTCGACTATATGATGCCGAAGAACGCCCCCATAAGCTCCGAAATTATAGCAGTCAACGCTTTGTTTTCCATTTTATACGCGGCAAGTATCCACTTAACTTAACCGCACACACATAGCAAACCTCGCAAACAGGTAAATTCGTCTCTTCCCTTCGTACTATTTTTGGCTAAAATCTACTGAAAACATTAGAGCGTGTCCAATGTTGTGACTTAAGTACGAGAAGCGTTCAAAGTGGCTCGCGACAGTAGTTAACGAAACTGATGTCTTAAAATGACACTTTGCATATTTGTATTTTGAACAATTTTTATTCCCTTTTGTGATCAATAGCCATAATCAGACCTTTCCAACTACGACAAACACAATTCTAACTTTAATGGAGGAGGAGCTAGTTACTTAATTAATAAATTAACAATTAGTAACACTGCCAGATCTTGCCAATACTAGCTGCTAAGTTGTCTAATGTATGACACTTTCCACTGCTTCGGGTGTTTTCCATGGTATATGTCTAACAAAAATAATTTGAAGTTCCGAGTAGCAACACTTTCAGAATGAACACAGGCAAAATGCTTGAGGCAATTATAATAGAGGAGTTACTTTTTAAACTTAGGTACGTTCTTGGTGAAATCCAACATGGCAGTTTAAGGGGTAAGTCCGTCACTACTAATCTCTCACTGTATGTTCAGGATATGTCTAAGGCGTTAGATAATAGAATGCAATGTATAATGATTTCTCCAAAGCATTCGATCAAGTACATCATCCTACAATCTTAGTAAAAATTTCGGTGCGCACGGTTCTCTTTACCAAACTCTTCAATCACATATTTGTTCTATGTTTGTTGAGGTAAATGGAACTAAAACATACCCCATGGATTGCACCTGACATCTATTCTGTTTTCTTTGTTCAGAGCGGACGCGGCTAAATGTTTTCGTTTTGCAAAATTTATTTCATATGCTGATGACCAAAAGGTGTGTGTATGCGCCAGTCAGGGAGTATCGACGACTTTCGCAAGTTTCAGAAGGACCTTGATAGATTTTATGACTACTAGTTAGGAAACCGACTGTTCTTAAATATTGACAAATGTTACTATACTAAGTTCAGTAAATAAAAAAATGATATAACTTTTGATTATAAATTCAATGGAGTAATTATTAAAGAAGTAAAGCATATCAGGGATCTTAAAGTAACTATAGACAGAAAAATTACTTTTGAAATTCAAGCATAGTGAAAAAGGTTTACAGAAACTTGGGTTTTATTACAAGGATGAGCGTCTTGAGTTTGCCAGTGTGATATGGAGTCTCCAACATCATAAGAATGCAAACAGAATTACAAACATTCAAAAAAGTTTATTTTTCTCATGAACTATAATATGTTTTTGCACAATATGGTTAATAACAGACTAGACTGTCCAAAGATGATGGAATAATTATCGTTTAATGCTAGGGTGGTGATGACTAGAACGCCTGCTTTATTCTATGCGCCTAAATATAGTACAAATCAAGGAAGCAACTCAGCAATATCTCTTTTGCAAAGAAATTGTAGCAGTTGCTTTTTGCACATAGATATTTTGCTTTGTCACTCAATTCATTTAAAAATCAAGTAATAAGAGTATTTCGCTCAGACTAAATTAAATTTATTTCTACATTATTTTTGCTTATTCTTTTGAATTAAGGTAAATATACTTAGTTTTAGTGTACCTTTGTAAATTGTGAAGTTAGTTTGTCATGTTAGGGTACCTAATTATAATAAATAAATGAAACATGTCTCAATTTTGATTTTTGATGCAATGCCTAGGTTTGATACGATTATGGAGATATTATTCGACATTATACACACTTGATTGTGTTTTGATATATATCTGGAGGTACCAATAATTGCTTATCTCCTGAGCGTGTATAGATATATAGTTTGTATTCAGCACTTTCAGCCAGCTGGCTCCTGGACTATATATTTTTTAGTATACCTCCTCCGCACTATGATTCACATAATGATTCAGGGCTCTGACGTATAACATATTGTGGCATTCTTTTGATATCTACTAACTTGCATACATTTTCGCATTTTTGCATACATGTTCTTGGTTAAGTGCGTACAAAGATGTATATTTCATTCGACTGTTTACTGGTACCTGTAATTACGTCAGAGATAGACGAATATGACTGAAGAGTATTTCAAACAGCTTGATTGATATCAAATGTTGAAAATGACGGCGTCTTGTTGGTGAAAGAAACTTGAAGCGTTTTTCCCAAGAAGTACAAAGCACTTTAAGAATTTAATTAACGGAGTTTTTTTAGGCAGCAACCATTGCGGTGGTGATGTCTTGCGACGCGGTGGAAAAAAGCGGGGTCAAAATTCAAGAATCCTGCTACCTGTTGTACGAAATGGCGGAGAAATCGGACAGAAAAGCGGCCTTGCTGCACCTCGCGCGTTACGTCGAAAATCTGTCACCACAGTTCGACGCAGCCGGTTTTTGGAAAGTCAATCAGCTAGTTTTGTCCACTTTATTTTCATCCGTTACCACTTATTTGATTATAATAATTCAGTTTAATATTACGTTAAAATAGCATAGAAAATTTGAGAAAGTTTATTACCGTTAGCCAAAAACAACCAGGACCGATAAGTTATAGTAAGTTAACTATTAATTAATTAATAAACTGCTTCTGACAACACAATAATATATACTTGAAGTATATGGTTAAAACTATTTATTTAGCAAATAAAAATGGCACTGGAATTGGTATTTGAACTTTGAACACATTGGTTTTGGTCCCTATTGACATAGAGCGTCTCTGACTAATTCCTGCGCGCACTGAATATATGTATATATATATATATATATATATATATATATATATATATATATATATATATATATATATATATATATATATATATATATATATATATATATATATATATATATATATATATATATATATATATATATATATATATATATATATATATATATATATTCTCACGTATTGATTCACGGATGGAAAAATGTGATGACACTATATTCCGGGATATCACCCGTTCGCTCGTTGAACTCCGACTGGAATCCTGCAAATCTTGCATCCGACTGGAATCCTGCAGACGTTTCGCCAAAATCTCACTTGGCATCTTCAATGCTCGCGCTCCGAAAACACTGTGTTCGAAGTGTTTTCGGAGCGCGAGCATTGAAGATGCCAAGTGAGATTTTGGCGAAACGTCTGCAGGATTCCAGTCGGATGCAAGATTTGCAGGATTCCAGTCGGATGCAGGATTCCAGTCGGAGTTCAACGAGCGAACGGGTGATATCCCGGAATATAGTGTCATCATATATATATATATATATATATATATATATATATATATATATATATATATATATATATATATATATATATATATATATACTTTTCACGTATTGATTCACGGATGGAAAAATGTGATGACACTATATTCCGGGATATCATCCGTTCGCTTGTTGAACTCCGACTGGAATCCTGCAGACGTTTCGCCAAAATCTCACTTGGCATCTTCAATGCTCGCGCTCCGAAAACACTTCGAACACTGTGTTCGGAGCGCGAGCATTGAAGATGCGAAGTGAGATTTTGGCGAATTATCGCCTTTAAGGACAAGTCTTTTCAGGTTATGCATTGCATAGTATGTATGCAATTTTATCTAAGCAAAAAATAAATAAATAATGGGATAGATATAAATTAATTAATTAATTAAATTAATTAGAGAGGGAGAACTTTCACAGTGCCATTAAAATAAAAAATTACTACTTATGTAACAACAATAAAAAAATAAAAATACTTTTGGACTCAACCTCAGAGGAAAATAAAATTGATAAGAAAAATTAAGTTAACTGCTTGATTAGTGAAACTTAATTTGAATGGCCCCTATCAACCTTTTTTTATAGCGGCTTTAAAAGTTCCTGTACCATCGGTATTAGATTGGACCTCTATGTCTATATCTAGTAGCTATATGAGTTTGCTTCATATAGCTACTACTACTAAAAATGTTGGTAGACATTCAATATACGCATGCGCGAGTCTGGATTTTATCCAATAAAACCTCGGTGCGTTGAATATTGCCGTTGACAGTCTGCAGTTTTTCGACAGTGTTTTCTTAAATAGTGATTAGAAACCACAATATGAGCATTTTAAGATCGAAATTTGTAAAAAAGGCCAAAAACACACATTATTTCTGCTTTTATTTCTTTGTTACATAGCTTGCTCTTCTAACCTTATGACACCTTTCACAAAAATCGCCCTCATTAATTCCTAAATATGTGGTTTCCACAATTCTCGCGTATTGCTGCAGTTTAACAATCAATCAAAACCAAACGAAGTCTGCCAATATATTCCCCCATAATTAGTTGCATTTGCCTGGCATAAGCACATATTTACCTTTTAATATGTAAAAATTTAAGGGTGATTTCAGTTTAAATGACATTTCACCCATTAATGTTGGCTAGTCAGCATAAATGCGGGCTCATTATAGCTAGCGCATGCATAATTTATATCCCGCACAGAATTTATGTAACCCTTACAAAAAGATTCTATCTATTAGCTACCTTTACCATGAATAGTGTGGTGTCAATTCCCATAAAAGACGATTACAGACTAATTTGTTATTGGTACAAGCCCGGTAATTATCTCGGAGTAACGCCAATGAATATTTTAGCGTGTAACCCAAAATCGGTTCGTTTTTTTCTAATCGTTTTGGGACTCGTTATTTTAGGACTAACGATATTTTGCTCATACGCTAGAACTTTTTTGTTTATGGATGATGATTTTTATTTGTCGGAGATTATATTGGAGTACATCGAAGCGATTTGCGATTTCTTGTTTATCGAGGCGATACTACTGATGAGCCTTTGTCGGCGAGATCAATGGAAAAGGATGCTTCAGATAATGCATCGGGTGGAGGAAGAAATTAGCGTCCACGGGTATTGCGGAAGAGCTTCCCCAGTATACTGGTTTAATATGCAAGTTATCGCTATGTATTGCAGTTATTCTGTAGTACATTTGTATGACAGTTACACGTTTCTGGACGACATGAATTTTCACATGAGCTACATTTTGTTCCGAATATCTAACTTCTACACCATCTATTATATGATCTTGGTGACATTATTCGCGACGTATTTCAAAAACCGGTACAATTTCCTCAACAAAATGTTGAAACAATCAGCTAGCGATGGCGAAACGCTAATTTTGTGGAACAAAAACTTTGATAAGTTCATCAACCTCTACAAACTGCTTTATATGGCAGTTAATGAATTTAATGTCGTGTTTGGTTGGTCACAATTCTTCCTGACCATACGCACACTGTTTGAAATCTTAAATGACATAAACTATGGTCTATTATCGACAAAAATTGAAATCAGCATTGCTATCACTTATACTGCCTTCCCAGTTGGATATTTGGTAAATTCCGTCTTAACATGTATTGACTTGGCATTGATCGCCTTTGTTTTAGATCCCTATGGTGTTAATATCATTATCCTGTGACAGAGCAGTCAAAAGCTGCAGAAATATACATAAAACTAGTCATATTTTGTATGGATCGACCACTCACATGGCTTTGAAAACCAAACTATTGGAGGTTATAAATTTTACAGCAGGACTAAATCCAGAATTCAATGCTAGTGGGTTCTGGATTGTTAACCAGAAATTGTTATCTGCTTTTTTTGCTACTCTAATAACTTATTTAATCATTGTAATTCAGTTTAACAATTTACTAGGATAAAAATTAAAAGCAAAATTAAAAAATGAAGTATATTAAGAATGGCACAAAAATGTTTCAATACATATATATCAGTTTCGCTCACCTAAATTAGTCTTTTTTATGCTGCTTAAGTTTACATCTCTTTTTCCTTTTTGATTTTCTATCTACAGTGGTTGGGACAACCTCCACAGAGCTATCTTCACTCGAAATATAAATTACATCACCATCAAATAAATTATTTGTGGGTTTAGGAATGCTTTTGGCACTGCTAAAACTTTTCTTAAAGCAGTCGCTAATATTGTCTTGCTTATCACTCTGTTTTAGTCTTTCATGTACAGAACATTGTGTACTTTTATTTAAAGAAACTTCTGTCACAACATTGGCCCGAGCACTAATATCTTCAGATGATTGAACAAAATGTATTTTCCGCTTTAAGAACTCCACTCTTTCAAATACGTGATCGATTTCCCGCTTATCTGATTCAACAAAGCTCTTCTTTAAATTTTTCTTATCACTCTGCAGCCGCAATTTCAAGGAATCTTGTGTTTTATTAATTCTAAAATATTAGCGCTGCTTAATTAAATGAAAGTGGATGCAAAAAAGGGCTTACCGCGTATTTGAAGATACCAGATTGGTAACAGTTCTCTGAAAAAAATTTAAATTTGGCTTTAATCTAGTATTCTCAGTGGACAAGAATCCCTCCCTTCTTCGACTTTCTTTTATTAACGCTGCAATTACCTCTCTAAAATAAAAAGTATATGCAACGAGGTAAACGAAATTGTTTAATTAAAATTTTACTCGTCTGAAATAAGACTCTTGTAATAATCTGACATTTCGTATTTTAAAAATATACAATATTTTCTCTCAAATTATCTGGAATTGTAGTTGACAGTTCTTTTAGGTATGGTCCTTTTTCTTCTTCTTTATTTTATTACGGCCACTTTAAAGGCGACTACGACTAGCATAGGGGACATGCGAACTATGTATTTCTAGCCAAAATGCATGTCCGAGTTCCATGAGGCCTGGAATATTTGTGAAATGAGTTCTGTATGTGACAGTGCCTATGGCGAGTATACCCGCGAAAATACGGATTAAAATTAATTCATGGAGTATTCGAATTCTAAATGGTAATTACAATTTTAGAAGCTATATTTAAAATACTATAGCCATTCAAGTCGAGGTATCTGGAAAGGAGTATTCAGGTTAACATAGTCATTTTATTAAAGGAACCGCTGTGACCAAACAAACAAAAATACCAAGGGTTACTATACGCGATTTATTCGATTCTGCAAAAACGCAACATCAATTTAAGATGGCAGAACATCTGTACAATCTTATTGGAGCATGTTCCAATATTAAATAAAAAGCTGTAATGGAATATTGCTCCTAAGAACTTTTACAACTCCTATTTGTCTAATATTTATACTAGTTTTACACTGACAATTTCTTCATGAAGTTAGTTCACAGATTTGAAGAGCGACATCACTACATTGATATCAAATACTCGTTAAACAAAGTCATGAAGTTTTTCATAAATTTATTCAAGAAATAGAATTTATCTTACAAATGTCATATATTAAAGGTTTGGTACGAATAAAGAAATAGCTCACTTTGTACACTAGACCTCGATAAGTTTCACCTGTAGCTAGAAATCTAAAGCCTAACTATATGTTTACCTTCTGCACACATCACATCTCAAAAATTTGTGTTCATTAGTTCGATCTGTGCTTTCACAAGACTGTATTTTATTCAAACTTTCTTTTGTCTTCTTTAACTGTTTAAATTGTTCAGCAGCATTTTTAAACTTTTTTTCTAATCCCTTCAGTAAAATACCCAATTATACACGGATCCAGCGTGCGGAAAATGTCATTTTGCCAAGTGTTTCGTTTCTCACGGCTGCGAGCCACTTTGGACATTTCCTACACAGGTTTGGGAGCAATCGGATGTTTTCGGACATATTTCCCACGGCTTGAATTTTGACATTTGTCAATTCTGACGGTCACGTCAGTGAATTTATTCGTGTTGTTTTGCAAAAATGAACCAAGAAAATAACGGTTGTAGAAAAAGTATAGTATGCAACAGGTTTGGTAAACTTTTTAACTCACTCGTTTATAAAACACTCGCTCCGCTTGTACCAAATAAATTCGTGACTCAAATGCAGTTGACCACACTTGTACTACTTTCTAGTCCCTTCTCTAAAATACCCAATTATACACCGATCTAGTGTGCGGAAAGAGATATTTAATGCAGGGTGGATTTTGACGTTGTTTTATCAGTGAAAATATTGTTGTTTACGAAAAATGTACCCTAAAACTAATGGTCATAGAAAAGGTATAGTAAGCAAGCCGTTTGGTCAACTTTTAAAGTCAGGAGTTTATTAATAAACGTTTACCACACTTGTTGCATAATATTCCCATTTTCTACTCCCTTCTCTAAAATACTCAATTATACACGGATCTAGCGTGTAGAGTGTTATTTTACCACGTCAGTAACGTTTCTTAGCGCTGCGTGCTACTTCGGACATTTCCGGGCTATTACCACAGGGGAAAATTTGACGTTTGACAGTTCTGACAGTCATGTTGGTGAACGTGTTGTTTTGCAAAAATTTACCCAAAAACTAACGGTCGTAGGAAAAGTATAGTATGCAAGATGTTTGGTAAACTTTTTAAGTCATTCGTTTATTAAACACTCGCTCCTCTGCATTTCGCTGGTGACAAACTCGAGACTCTTACCACACTTATTGCATAATATACTATTTTCACCAATTTTAACTCTCCTCCCCTCTTTATTTCATCATTGCCTTTTCTATTTCTTGTATAAGTTTATGAATACTGTTCTAAAAAGACAAAAACATTCAAACAGAACCTCTAAATCTTCAATCCATCAATTATATCATCGATTTGTTTTCAGTGTCAAACTAGCATTATAGACCAATTTTGACTTACAAAAAAAAAAAAAAAAAACTAGACAGTTAAGGCAAGGTCAAAGACGTATCCGCAACAAGAATTTAAGAATAAATTTTGATGTGCATTCGCGAACCTCGTCTTTTTATACTTTTAAAGACAGAAAGAAGTCATGGTTGCCTTTTTATACAAAAATTTACAGAATAAATATAAGTTGCCTCATTGTTCGGAAATCTATTGTCTCCATCAATTCCTGTTTTTTTAGTTTTTTTAGCCTAGCCAAACACCTCGCATCATTGCTCCAACCCCACATGGGAAATTCGGAGTCGTATGTCAAGGACTTAACATACTTTATCAGCAAAATTCAGGACATAATTCTCCAGCCAGATGACATCCTTGTCAGTTTTGATGTTGTGTCCTTATTCACAAAGGTCCCGGTGAAAGAATCTTTAGACCTGATCGCAAGAATTTTCCCAGATGACATTGTCAAGCTTTTCCAGTCTTGCCTAACGGGCAGTTACTTCTTATGGGATAGCGACTTCTACGAACAGACGGATGGGGTAGCTATGGGAAGCCCACTTAGCCCGGTGATAGCCAACTACTTTATGGAGAAATTCGAGCAGAAAGCGATCAGCTCGTCTGAATACAAACCATCAAAATGGCTCCGATACGTGGATGACATCTTTGTAATTTGGAGTCATGGAAGAGATAGACTTGATCGTTTCCTGGACCACCTACCATCTAAATGCTCAACATCCAAATATAAAATTTACCATGGAGACAGAACAAAATCAGCTAATAGCGTTTCTGGATGTTCTAATAAAAAGATGCAATGGGAAACTGAGCCACACAGTGTACCGCAAGTCGACTCACACAGACAGGTACCTACATGCCGTATCCAACCAGCACCCAAGCCAAAAAAGAGGAATCATTACAACCTTAACAGAACGTGCCAGGAGGATTTCTGATCCACAATACCTGGAAACAGAACTAGATCAACTCAAAGAAGCCTTCCAATCAAATGGATACAGGATATCTGAGATCGATAAGGCTATGAGGCCCAGAACTGCCTGACGACAAGACCCGGGTAAACAACTAACGGTTGCGAGTGCTTATCTACCTTTTATTCCTCGAGTGACAGACAGGATCGGAAAAATATTGAAAAAGCATAATATTAACACAATATTTAAACCAACAAGGAAAATACAACAAACGCTAAGATCAGCCAAGGACAAGAGAGATCCACTGTCAGTCGCCGGAGTCTACCTCATACCATGCGCGTGTGGAAAGGTGTACGTTGGAACGACAAAAAGATCTGTGGCAACCAGGATAAAGGAACATCAGAGAAACTGCAGACTGGGACAAGCGGACAAATCGGCAGTAACGGAACACGCGCTCAGTGAAGGGGATCACGACATTCTTTTTGGGGAAGCCAGGCTTCTTGCGCCTACTTCGGGCTATCATGCCCGCCTCGTACGAGAAGCAATAGAAATCCATAAACATACAAATAATTTCAATAGAAAAAAAGAGACACTGCAGCTCAAACAAATTTGGAAAGCAATAGAAATCCATAAACATACAAATAATTTCAATAGAAAAGAAGAGACATTGCAGCTCAAACAAATTTGGAACCCCATCTTAAGGAACACAAGGACAACCCCGGTAGTCACAACCACTCATGCGTTAAAATGCCCCGCCCCCTCCCCTCTCCGACTCCCCAGGCATAAATACAACTTACGGCCGGGAGCGCGTCAGTCTGCATCCAACATCGGAGATGGAAGCACCTCAGAACAAGCTAGCAGTTCGTGCTAGCGAAACGTCAGGAACAATTTCCACTCAACGACGGCCATTAAGCCCGAACAAAAACACTTACAGTTCAATACACTTATCGTATTTACACATAGATCTTCTGCGCGTGTCCCCAAATTTCACACACTAAAATGCCCTTTGCCCTTTTCTTCCTATGTAACCTACACACACGTGACTCGTTTTTTCGTTAAGAATTTGACAAAATATTGCCAAAAAAATGCCACACACAGAAAACTGCCAAATTCGTGAACTGTCAGCGGCCAACTTGCAAACGTTTGATGTTACTTACTACTCGTCTGAACTTTTCTGCTTGGTTGATGCTAAATGCAAACGATTTGATTAAGCGTAAAATAAGATCGCTTGATTTCTTCAACATGTTCGTTGACAATCAATTCTAGCCTGAAAAGACGTTTCTGACCAACAACTAGTACACAAAAAAAGCCGGAATTTTCTGGCAGTGTTTGAAGATGCACGAAAAAAATGCTAATCGGACGTATGTGGGACGAATTCGAAAACATTTAATCGATTCTCACGCTGAAAAGCAGAGACTGCTAATGAAACAATGGAAGGCAATAGTAAAATAATTATTAAATATAAATAAAAATAGTGTAAACGTAAACTGCTTTTAAAAAGTTGAATATACCTGAACGTAGTCTATGTTGAAATAGCTGGCGCACGATCATACTCAAGGTTTGGTTACCAGTACCTGGTCGCTGTATATTTCCACCTAACGCTAGGGTTTTTATTTTTTATTATGTATCAGTATTGATATGACTGTATTTTGAGTTAAAAATTAAAGCCTTTGTATCACGTGCGCAATAAAACTGCCAAATTTACATCAAGTGACATACGTTTACGTCTATCACCTAACCTATAACGTATATCACGTTTCGAGCTGTCATAATTGTGCCTATACGAATCCCGCCCGCAATTGTTTACTCAAAGTCAAAATATGTACCTAAACACTATATAAAAGCATTCAAATTCAATCGAACTGTACAAAAATACTTCAAACAAAAACATTTAAAACAATGTTCCGTATACTGATCCCCTAACCGCGTTATCCCAGTTTTTGATGTCAATTCCAAGAAAACAAAGGCGCCCCGTCGAATTTTTATGGAAAAACAATCGTAACCTTACCGGAAAATTTAATATCACAGGCCAGTACGGTCGGAATTGACATCAATCACCCCAAAACGAAACGCGTCGATCTTACTGGAGCTGCACTTGCAGTTCGGAGATATCCGTGATCTCCTCGCCGCTCATCTCTTCCGCCTCGTATTTCTCTTCGAACTTGGCCTCGATCAGCTCCTCGCCGTCAGTGGTCGTCGCGACGGTGGTCACCGTCGACACGCCCGTAGAATCGTTCGTAACCGATCCTTGACCCTCGTCGTTCGATTGGATCTGGTGTTTCGTCCGGTACTTCTCGTGGATGTTTCGGTGTCGTTTGAGCGCGAACCTGTCCGAGAATCCCACCGAGCAAATGTCACACTTAAATGGTTTCTCGCCCGAATGTACCTTCGCATGGTTCTTTAGGTGAGTCGCCTGGTTGAAGCACGAACTACAAATATCGCACCTGCAATTTACAAGTACCCTACGTTAATCACAAAGAGCAATCGCAAAATATTATTTTTTTATGAATAAATTATTACAAAATTGGCGACGAAGAAATGATACTAGAAAGGCGGAAAGAATGTTTTGAGGAGAACCTAAATTTCGGCATAGAAGAGGACATGTCAATGGATGTCATGAGGATAGCATAACCACTGAGCCTGCCACTAAAGAAATCGAGGCCATTATAACAAAAGCTGAAGAACCAGAAAAGCCCGAGTGAATATAAAGTACGGAGAAGAATTTCTACAAACGCAGATAACAGAACTTATAAAAGTACTGGCAAAACTATTAAAGAACAAAATGGAAGAATACTCGAAATATTAGGAGATAACCAAGGAGGATTCAGAAAAAATAGATCGACAACAGATCAGATCTTTATGTTAAAGCAAGTTTTAACGGGTTGCTAGAAACAAAATATTCCTACATTTATGCTGTTTCTAGATTTCAAAGGAGTATGTGATAGTGTGAACAGAGCAGATATACCACCAAAACTATTGAAAATAATAAAATTAAAAAAAAAAGATACAGCAGTAAGTATAAAGGAAGGCAAAGTAAAACCTTTAATATACGTAAAATATTAAGAAAAGGGGATCCACTATAAACACCCTTGGCTATAAACAATGCCTATCATACAACAACTTATAAAAAAGGCAGAAACTTTTGGGTTCCAATTTAAGCTGGATAAAACCAAATTTATGAAGCTCAAGAATGGTACAGCTAGCAAAAGCAAACGAAACTTACAAGTGGGGACTAGCAAGACTAACAAGATATATGAATTTGAATAGGTAAGCGACTATATGTATTTGTGATGGTATAAAATTATTAAAATAAATGCAGGGTGTTTCATTAAAAAAAAAAATAGTTTAGTTTGCATATAAAAATTTGTGAAGTTTGCGAAGAAAACTGACTACGCCACTGGATCGAACGTAAAAACCCCTATATTTTTTGCATTTTTGGATTAAGGAGAGCATTCTACTAAGGATAGGACGGGTTTTCTCTTTTATTTTATTTATTTATTTTTTGAAAATTGTGTCTAGGAGGCTGTGACCATCGTAAATACTATTGACCGGGTCACCTGATCATGAACTATTAATTTTAGGCTAACCTATTTTTTCAAATAGCACCCTAATGGGAACAAAAACTTTTTAAAAACGGTACGTTTTTTGCAAAATTTTGACACCAAAATTTTCAAAATCTAGGAAAAAAAACATAAGTAAATTCATTTTTATAAAAACAAAATATTACTTAGGTGGCTTTGCTTCTACTCATCATCAAGTCGGCATGATTGAAAATTCTAACAGTTTGCACATTTTTATTTGGTTATCTATTTTACCGAATTACAGCGAAGTATATAGTCTGCATTTGATAGTATAACTTCAAAAATGTTGAGAATGTAATTTCTAGAGGGAGAGCTTCTTCTGAGATTCAACGGTTAGAATTTTTTGTTGAGAGTGTTTTATTATGGTAACCGGAAGTGCAACATATTGTGAAAAAATTGGACATTCAGCCTACATTACCCCTTCCAAATTTCAAATAGCTATCTCAAGCCGTTTAAAAGTTATAGTGCTCCCACTTTCTTGTGTCACCCGGTGTAGGTAGGCAGACCATAGGTAGAAGGTAGAAGATAAATAGAAGCATAATGAAATGATAAAATATAAAAAACTGAGTTATAACAACTATGGAATTAGAGGGACGCACATGGCAATAACTCCAAATCTAATTTCATAAATATTTTTATTTTTGTATGTCCAACTCTTCGGGTTATCGGAAATAAATTGAAAAAAACATTATTTTTTAAAATATTAAGAGTCAATTAGGAATTAACTGCAGTTTATGTGCAACATAAGTTTATTTGGCGGCTCACGTTAATTTTAATAATTCAAAAATTTCAAAAAATTTAATATCCAAAAAACGTTGGAAGTGTAAAATGTTGCTTTGTCTAATAATGCCTAGTGTTAGTAATAATAAATGCGAACATAAATACACATAAACATGGCAAATGAATACTTTATTTTTTATATATTTAATTTATATTTTTTTGTACTAATACTGCAGTGAAGCAATACATATAAAAAAATGCATTTTTTTGTCAGTATTTTGCTATGATTTCGCAAAAAATGACAACAGTGAAGACGTCATGCAAACCGAACCCAGGAGACTGAACATGGAACACTATACCTGTACGGTTTCTCTCCCGTATGGATCCTCCTGTGGTTCCACAGGGTGGAGTGTCTAGCGAACGATTTGTCGCACACTTCGCAGACGTACGGTCGTTCGCCCGAATGAATCCTCTCGTGGTTCTTCAAATGCGGAGACTGCGAAAACTGCATACCGCACACGTTGCACCTTAAACATCGCGGACTGAACGAAAACGAACCACAAATAAACGGAACCAGAAGCACCTGTAAGGCTTCTCTCCCGTATGTATGCGTGAGTGGTTCTTCAAATAGGCCGCCTTGGCGAACGCTAACCCGCATATGTTGCACTTGAAATTCTTTTCGCCTGTGTGTAGCCGCTTGTGCGACCACAACGAGGAATACCTGCTGAAGGAGCCGTTGCAAATGTTGCAATGGAACGGTTTGTCGACGTTTTGCTGGTTCTTGGTGCCCCCGATGAAGATGATGCCGCTACCGTTGCATTTGGTGCATTTGGTGACGCTAGCCACGCCTCTCCGTTTCACGGGGTGGTTGTTTTTCACCCCTATCGGGATAGAGTTCTGGGTGCCTAAATTACTCTGGGTCTGTGTGCCGGTGGATTCTTCGAATTTGACCGCGGTCTCGGGTGCCGCGGCGACCACGAAAATCTGCGGCTGTATTGCTTCGGCGCTCAAACAATTCTCGCATTTCACCTATAAAAGATATTTTGGAAACTGCTCACTCGGTGATAAAATCTGTGTTTATGATACCGAGTGACCACAGTTAGTTGCGAACCCTTCCTTCACTCCAATTGTTTTACATATATGTATACGCTGGACCCACCAGCTGGCTGGTAGAAAAAACTAGTTTATATTATTGATAGCTAAATATGCTACATTTTTCCAAAATACTTAATTGCATTATAAATTGAAAAATTGCAAGAATTGCCAGCAACTTTTAATGACTTCAATCACACCACATTTTTTTAATTTTTTTTTCATATTCCCTAATTATACAGAAATAAATTCCCGGAACATGAGAACATTTTCTATGCTTTGCAGTGAACTACGTTTATCGAATTGGCAATGTGTAAAATGTATGTGTAAAAAAATTCAGTAAGGATATATCGGCAAAAATAGTAATCAAACGAGAACGCTCCCATTCTCAGCATCTATATAAATAAGCAAGAAGACAACCTATTATTCATAAATGACACTATTGACACATTTAGTAATTTTAAATTTTACTGTTCCGTTCAATATTAAATAAAAACCACAGCTTTATATCCTATAAAAATTCGCTTAGCAACTAGAATTTTGTTTAGACTTGTCATATGATCAAAATTGTAAGTTCTAGGTCTGATGCACTTTTCTAATAGATAATAATAGCTCAACCCAACCAGATGGTGGAGCAACGAATTATAGGAAGGGTTCCGACGAAATATTTGATTAAATGGAAGCATTTGAAGTTGAACTAGCGTAATATACGAGGTTAGCGCCAAAATTTTCCGGCCTGACATAGATGCAGCTCCAGTATCACGATAAAACTTTGTCTTCTTTTAAATATATATCTTAGTAGGCTGCGAAAAAAAAATTGAAGTCTTGCGTCAAATAGTTTTTTATTGACAGCATTTTAAACAAGACATGTCATAAAGTTTTTGACAAAAGAAGGGTTAGCACCTAAAATTATTAAAGGGCTGGATGGTGTGTACAGCCAAAGTTCTCTTTCGCATTATGTAGTAAAAGAATGAGCAAAACGGTTTCGAATGGGGCAGAAGTCCTTTGAAGATGATTCAATAACTGGTCAACCAGTGGAGGTCATAACGGAAATTGCGATTGTGGAAGAGGTGGCATTGAGTGGTCGACGTTTAAAGGTCAAGGAAATCTCAGAAATTACTAAGCTTTCTGATGCAAGTGTTCGTCGAATCCTGCATGATCATTTAGGTATGCATAAGGTTAGTGCAGGATGGGTCCCTAAAAACATTTCGGCTATTCAAAAACAACGTCGTGTCGAGTGTGCGAGGTCTTTTTTTGGAACTCTGTGGGTCGGAACCGAAGCCTGTGATAGAAACTATTGTGACGGGATATGAAACTATGGTTCTCTACTATGACCCTCTATTGAAAAAAGAATCAATGGAGTGGCTTCCTAAGGGTGAAGCACCTCCAAGAAAATTCAGAGTCTGCCAGTCAATAAAAAAGGTGATGGCCACGATCTTTAGGGATTGTGAAGGAATTCTTTTGATAGATTTTAAAGAAACTAATACCACTGTCAATGGCAAATATTACGCAACATTATTACATAAATTGCGAGACTGTATAAGAGTAAAACGTTGAGGAAAACTGACCAGAGGCGTGCATCTTTTGCTGTATAATGTCATTTTAGAGTGTGGGTTCCAACAATAGATCATCCTCCCTATAGTCCACATATGGCTCCCACCAACTATTATTTGTTTGGATATTTGAAAAAGGACTTATGTGAACAGGGTTTAACGACGAAGTTGAGTTAAAAGAGGCTGTTTTAGCTAATTTTGCAGACAAACCAAAAGAATATTTTTTTAAAGGGATTGAGTTGTTAATAAAGAGATGTAATAAGTGTATTGAAGTTAAGGGGGATTATATTTAAAAATAATAAAAAAATGTTACTCTACTTTGTTTCTTTCATATTCAGGAAATTTTGGCGCTGCCCTAGTATAAAAGCCACAAAGCAACACCAATTACAACAATCACCTTCATGACAGCCCTCTTTTTGTTGGTATCCTGGGGGAGTAAGGTTCCGCACGACTCGCAGTTTTTAATTTTTAAAGTATTCTGCTGCTGCTGCGACTGCTGTTGCGTCTGCTGCTGCACCTGCTGTTGCTGCTGCTGCGGTTGCTGTTGTTGCTGATGGGATTGAATTTTGTGGGTCTTCAAATCATTTTGGGTGCTAAAAGTCAGTCCGCACTCCTCGCAAGAGAACCGGATACGGTCCGCCGACACCACAATCTGGGTCGGTTGCTGAGTCTGTTGCACTTGTGGCATCAATTGCACGGTGATTTGTTGCTGCTGGACCTGCCCCTGATCCGTCTGACCGTGAGATACCTTTTTATGGTGGTTGAGAAGGCTGAGGTGGGCGAACATCAAACCGCACACCTCGCACTTGAAAGTTATATTTGAAATAGCGTTTTGAGTGAGTAAGTTCTGATTCACCAACGTGTAGTTGTAACTGAATGGTTGCGTGATGTAACATTTGTCGTCGGTCAGTTGGGACATGTTAACGGTCGAGTTGTGCGTTTGAGTTGTGTTCGGAGTGATTTTATGGATCATGTTGACATTCGCGTAGCAAAACGGCGCGAACGTGTCCTGCTGCTTCTGCTCCTGCGACTTATCCTTATCGGCAGTTTGTTGCGGTTGCTGGTACTGGATTTGGGACTGCTGAGTCGTGATGGCATTCGGGTCAAACATGATGAAGCAGGTTTGACCACCCGGCAACTTTTGGGACTTTAAGGAAAAATGAATACCTAGACAATTTTCTTAACCATGTCGACTATATGATACAGACGAAATCTGTCCCTTGCGTCATAATTGATTCATCATTTAAAACTAGAACCCGAAGGTACATAAAACTCAAAAATTTTTTTAGGGATATATTAACTGTATACTCTAATAATTCCTAAATTATAGAACCTTTTTGAATTGGGCAATAAAGATTTCGTTAATATTTCATTTACTCCTGCGGACTTACATTTCCAATCCCAAAGTCGTTCCAATTATTAGTGAAGACATGGTTTATTTCTACCAATATACTTCAATTCTGCTACCTCTGATATTAATAATAAAAGAAATCTCCGTGAAGCAGATGTGGGTTACGAAGTATTCGATCACCCCGCTCTTGACCCTAAGCATTTTAACAAAATTTAATCTTAAAGTTGACAAATCTGAGTTTATACCAAGGTGTTACTAAAGATATGCTTTAACGCGAATGCCCAATATTTGTATTATCTATATAGCTGTGTTTAAAACAAACTTTGAATATACAGAGGGTAGCCCAATAGTTATTATTCACTATGTCTTGCAGAAATCTTAATAAGCAAAGATGGATAGGGTGTTTCATTAAAAAAAATGTTTCATGTTATATTCTCAATTATGCAGCATGTTTGATTAAACATGCTGCATAATTGAGAATATTTTTAATTTTATAACAAATATAGCAACAGGGAAGTACCTAGTTCCGTCCTTTATCGTATAGTATAGTATATGGAGATGGAGTTACAGAAAAGATCTCAACAAATGAAGATTTTTTGTTAAGAAAAATCTCATGTGATTATCCTAGAACTAATCTTATTAACTGATGTTCTCCGTGTATCTACTACAGACTACTCTTTCATCTAAAAATATCGGATACTAATTCATTAAAAATAAAAATTATATTGTTTAGCAACTACCTTAAATAAATAAATATCTGTAAATAACTCGCTCTATTCACGAATAGCAAATAACGATTTAAATCTTATACATTTTTGCACTTTCATGTAAATAATTTCTAAAAGGCTAGATGACTGGCACAGAGTGATCTATTAGAAATGTTTACGGCTGCCGCACTGTTGTAGGAGGTATCATTTCAGTTTTTTTATAAACTATGTGACTTATTAGTGGACTGCCCTGAGTGGCTGAAATAATTGAATTTTGGTACTTTCAAAGACTCTTCGGTAACACCTGTATTTCACCTAGTAACCCCAAAAAATACTATCAGTTAATGAAATTTGTTTAATAACTTCTGTAGTGATATTGACGTTTTCAGTATATTCTGCTATTGTTTTACTGGAGAGAATATAGTTGAATGGTTGTAGTTAATAGATGTTAGGATAAAATCGTCTTGCGAATGGATATTAATCTCTTAGACGATAAAGATTTCTCTAATTTAATTTAATATATTTTTTGTAAAATTTCGCACTTCATTGCTAAGAAGACATTATTATTAATAACTACTGTTAAATTGTAACTGACCCACTCCAACTGAACAAACAGATAAAATGAGTTTATATCGGCTACAAAAAGAACGCTCTGAAAAAACAAACTTATTGTGCTGGTATACCTTATAAGACGTCAATATCTGCTTAATGTTTTTTTTTTGGGTTTTATTAAAGATTATGACGCCTCTGCAGCCCATCATAAAACTTTTTATAAAAGTCTATTATATCGATAAAACTAAACGCCAAAAATTGCCTTCAGAAAAAGAACAGACCAGCTAACCAAACAAGCGCATTATTAATTAATTTAAACCACATTAGGTGCGAACATATATTCAAAAAAGTAATATACAACTTAAAATCCAAATCAAAATTTTATTGTGAACGGACTACCTACTTAACCGAAATGCATCTAGGTATCTTGCTATTGGTTAATTGTTCTAATGATTAGATATTACTTTGTGATGATATAAAAGCGAATGAATTCCAACTTTATACAAAAAAAAACATTTACACTTTTCGGATTCGGTGAAATAGCGGGTATCAATTGAATTCTGCAGCAAAAAATAATGCTTAATCAGCCTGATCGTCCCACGAAATTTTACGCAGCTGGGCGTGGTGTTTTTCGGAAATTTCAAACTCCAGTCAAAAATAACTATATGCGTATATAGGAAGTAAAAAAAGTATTTAAATTTATATACAAAAGTGGCTATCCTTCCACACAAAATTTCTCTCTTTTTACACAACAAAGACGATGTGATAAAATGAAATAAGTGTATAGAAGTAACAAAGAAAACCATTTACCTTCACTCTGTCTCGTTGAGGAAGACGCTGCGACGATGTTACCGAATTTTTCGCACGTTTTCACTTAAACGCGAGTAACGAGGGGTCAAACGTTAATTGTCGTGCCCTTGGGCATTCCCGTAAAGCAGAAAAATCGAGTTTTTCTTGTAAAAATGTCGAAATTTCTCAAAAAACTCCTTATTCTATCTCACTTTAGAAAATGGCCGATAGATCCATAGCCATCTTTGTTCCCCTTGGAACGCAATAGCGATAGCAAGCAATAGACACGATTAGCGTTGCACGCACGCGTGAATCTCCCCTCCGGTCTCGGGCAAAACGAGCGCATGATTTGGATTCCGCCGAACGATTATGACATAACTTTATGACGTTATTTATTATTAGATCATTGTTTAATAATTGGACCGGACGAGTTCAAGTTCCAGTTATTTTGATTTCGATGTTGACTACATAATCCAAGCAGACGATATAAATCCTGTTTGCGTTGCAGATATACATATCATATCTTGGGGAAAATATTTGTTTTTATGTTCTGTGAGCAATATTGAAGCTCCAAATATAACATCCTCAAAATGATTGAAACTAAAACTTTTTCAAGAGAGCATTGTTTATATCAACAAATCGACTTTCTTAGCATTTCTTTGCATCCAATTTGCATTAAGGCATCGAGTATTTTCCTTGAAAAGTCGTGGGAAATTTGGGGAAAACCTAAAAATAGCCGCGTCCGGACCTGGATTCAATGTAGCATGAAACTGTTTTCTAGTGACATTTCGATTTTTCCCTAAACTGAGAAGGTTGAGTGGAGTGTGTAAGTAGGGTTTGCGATGTCGGATATAGGTAGCGGAGATGAAGGTTCTAGTTCGCAAAGTGAGTAGAAAAAGCCCCCTAAATTCCACTGCCCAAAGAAACTTTGCACTTTCCCGCGTTCGTGTGCAAAATTTTGTCCGAAAACACGGGCTATATTGCTGCTAAACCCGCACGCAAACCCGACAAGTGTAGCAAGATGGCGTAAAATTCAATTGTTTCCAGACAAAGTTATTCACATCTTGCCGATTATATGAATTTTTAAGTTAAATATCCCCAACGGAGGTGATGCGATGGTGGACGATACGATTTTTCTCGCTGCTTTGTTAAATACAGCCGGAAAACCGACGGAGTTTTCGAAATGTAGCCGTGGTTAAACAGTGACCTTGGCCAACGTCAGTTCGGTTGCCTTTTCCCTTCAAAGTGAATGTCAAAATTTGCAATTCTCGACCTTACGTGCGGATTTTATGTTTTTAATCAATTTTACTGAAATTATTCGGTGCTTGTTAGTTTGCCGGAGGGCAGAAATTAGTGTAATTCAAAACAACGCCGAAACGAAACACTCACGCCGTATTTTCTTATTTTTATTGTAGAATATCACGGTATGGAACAAGGAAGCGAGTATGACTCAGGTGAGTTCAAAATTTGGGGAATTATTACGGCTTTCACGGGAAAATCTTTTTGTTTCCATTTATATTTCAATAGTTTCCCCAACGAGGGACACTTTATTTTTTGTGCCAATCTCCTAAATTTATGAATGAAATTCTTAAAGTCATGACTCATACCGTTTCTGGGAATCCAGTAGTAGATTTTACTATTGCCCCCTCACGATGTGATTCATAATTATTAGTGTCGACGCTCGATTTGCCGGTACCGCAGCAGTTTTCGAATTTTATTTGAAAATGAACAGTGAGTGGGTCCTTGGCAGAATACAATACTGGCATGATCCTAGTATGTTGACCCTAAAATTTGTTGTCAAAATGTGATGAATTTGTTATTTATAATATTTAAGTGTTTTTGTTGGTTAGGTTTTTGACCGCCGTGCGTTTGTGTTTTAGGCCAGCAAGGTCAAGTTGAGCAGGAACTGGCCACAAAAATGTTACAGATACAGAGCAAGAGGTTTTATTTAGATGTGAAACAGAATCGAAGAGGCAGATTTATCAAAGTTGCTGAGGTAAAAGGAGTTTAAGTATTGTTGAATTGAACAACTGATAAAATAGGCTATTGGATTGGTTTGTAACGATCTCAGGTTGGTATCTATATGGTGCCTGCAAAATGTGATACTTTTTTAATGTCTCCACAATGTTCGCTACATGCTGATTTCTTTTAAATTTATCATGGATGGTAAAATGTGTTCTTGCTTCTGATGTTTTAGTTCCAAATTTAATATACAGCTCCAAAACCTCATTCTAAACACGTTTTCAAATAACTCTTTTTATATGTTTTTATCTAACTCCACTTTTTGCCTTTTCAGGTCCAATTGTTCCAATTTCCCGCCATAACATTTGTCACGCGACATGTCAAAATATACTTTTAGGTTATTGGCAATTTTACAAATCAGCAGAAAAAATATTTCAGTTTAAAAGTTGGGAATGCTTGCATTGCTGCATAAGAAGTCCATGTTTGCAATGTTATGGACACATACGAATGTTCAATATTAAAGGAAAAACTTACCTGTTTGTTGATGGATGTCATTCAGGAAATATTATTTTTCTATTCATAATAATATTTCATAATTCGTAATAATTTTATTCTGTAAACCTACTTAACCCAGTTTAGCAATGTATTTGCTACTTATCAAAAAACCAGCGAGAATTAGACATAAAACTTTTTCCCGTTCCTTATAAATAAAATACTTTCAAAAAACTAGCGTTCCCAATAAAACAGAGAATATTCATGTGATTGCTTCTCCGATGATCATTTCAATCTACGTAAATATTGTGTTATTTACTTACCAATCCTAAGTCTAAACTTCAATGTTAATTAAATTAGTGAAAGAGTTACTTATTCAAATTCAGTCATTACTTTTTAAAATAATCGCAGGGTAACCATGATGAACTGAACTTGTTTGCCGATATGATAGTCAATCAAGAGAAAACTTACTTATAACACGAATATTAAGTATGTTATTATTACCACTGTCAAATAGCCTGTTTTGAGGTGACGATTTTCTTTTTCGGTTGAGACTCTCTGGCACTAAATCACGTTTAAGGTTGCTGGTTTAACTTTACAGATTGGAGCCGATGGCCGACGATCCCAGATATTTCTAGCCCTTTCAACTGCCGCCGAGTTTCGAGACCACCTTTCCACATTTAGCGATTATTATTCTTCACTTGGTATGTTATGACCCCACTCATTTTTAAATTTAATTGGTCAAATGAATATTCAGTGACTTGAATCATTTTTGTGATAGCCGAGAATGCTGTTTTAGGCCCACCCAATCCCGACAATGTGCCGGAAGATGGCAAGCTCAAGAGCGAGATGATGATCAAGGACAATCGTCGCTACTACCTGGACCTGAAGGAGAACTCCAGGGGGCGTTTTCTGCGTGTATCGCAAACGATCACCCGGGGCGGGCCTCGGTCTCAGGTTGCGATACCGGCGCAGGGAATGATCGAGTTCCGGGACGCTCTCACAGATCTCCTAGACGAATTTAGTACCGACGAGCACGCGTACAAACCCGACTTACCGGAAGGCAGACACATGCACGTCGACAACAAAAATTTCTACTTTGACATTGGTAAGTTGGCCGTCGACACACACCTCGATTCGAGATTTTTTAACGTGTGGTTTTCCATGGAGGTCAAAACAACCGCGGCGTTTACATGCGCATTTCCGAGGTCAAAACCAACTTCCGGACTTCCATAACCGTGCCGGAGAAGAGCTGGCAACGGTTTCGGGACATCCTGAGCGATTATTGCGAGAAGATTAAGCAGCCGACGGGCGGAGCCACCGGGCAACTGCAGGGCGGGGGCGGCGGCGGCGGCGGGATGCTCTCGCAAGATCAGCCTCACCCATTGGTGAGTGACCATTTGGAATTTGACTTTTATTCCACTCTTACAGCTATTTTGCCAAATTTACGGAATTCATCGGTTTTAAAGAACGTTTGTTCAAAAAGGGCTTTAATTCCTTCCAAATGTCAAAAAAGTAAAAAATAAAAATAAGGGAAAAAGGAAAGAGATGTGCTTATTGGGCTAAAATGGATAAACATGCTTTCATTGATCATGACGTCCGGCCGGCGACTTCCCAAGTGCAGCTATTTATTTATGATAAGCAATATTAGGGACTTTGTGCACCTCTTTCGAAATTCCATTAACCTACTATTCCTTAATCGTCCTATTGGCTTCTTCAGAGCTTAACTCCCTGCCTACTACTCAGATGACTGATTCCCATATTGGTGACAGGTAAAAACCTGAGTCGCGGTTAAGATTGTTTGCTTGCTTCATAGATAGATATTAATTCCATACATAACCGTATAAAATTTACCATAGAGACGGCTATCACTAAACTACAGACTAAATTAGATTTTTCCATTTACCATAAACAGACTACTTAATATACTACTTTCCACAGAAAATTTAAAAAAAGAATTAAATAGTATAAAGCAAGTAGCTTTCAACAATGGTTACGACCCCTCTTTGATAGATAAGATTATAACTAAAAAGCAGTTTCAACTAACTCTGAACTCTATCTATCCCATATTAAACACCGAACCCAAAATTTATAAAACAATAAAATACATAGGAGAATCTAGCAAAAAAATTTCTAAATTTGGTCTTATGAATGCTGGAGATAACAAATTTGGATATTTAAAATTCTTCCAGGTAATCAATTCTTCTACCAACGAAAAATCCGAGAATCTGTAGAAATCTATAAAGCAAGCAAATAATCTTAACAGCCACACAATATTGGAATCAGTCATCCGAAAAGATGTTTATGCCCCTCATTTAGCTTCGCCCCCCTCAAATAATATCTACGCAGCTACAGAGTAAAATGCGAGCCAGTTTGAGTTACGCTTTGAAGAAGCCAAACGTTAGTTTGATTCATTAACAACCGACCTAGGAAAAATCCAGAAATTTTTTCTTCTTCTTCACAGCTTGACTGAAACAGTTTCAGTCACGCTCTGAAGAATGATGATTGGCGAAAAATCAGCAAGTTTGATTCAGCAAAAACTGACGCAGGAGGAATCCAGAAGTTTTGTAAAAAGTATACCAGTGTCATTTACTGTTTTATCGCAATGGGTTTACCACTGGATTAATAAATTAATATAGAATATAGTGCAAGTACTGTGATTAATAAATTATGTTATCAATTTACTTCTGTTAGAAAAGATTTCACTTGAATGAAAGCGTCATTATCCTCCTAGCGGACCTCAAGATATGCAGAAAAATGTGTAGAAAATGAAACGTTACGCATCTCATACCACCCAGTCGTAACGATAAAAACAAAATTAATCATTTAATAAGTTGTGTAGTGAAACAACATAGATGGTTTAACTTTTAAAGTCTCTTCCGGGATGAGGCCGAGGAAGAGATTGAAGATGATTTTCTAACAATTATGGAAGCTGTCACATTAATTTGCACATACTCTACAAGTTCGATGATATAATCAATACAACTAAAAGTGAAGTTTAGGACACATTTAACTCAAGCTGTTATTACAAAAACATCGGACAAACATTATAAATTAACACTTTTAAGTTCTAGTTTTAATTTATTTGATTTATTTTTGCCTTCGCAGCTATCTTGTTTTTATTTAGTATTTATTATATTAGGGTGCGGGTGTTGATTTAACTTATTTGATCGTGATTATTGAGAAAATAGAAGGGTTGTTTTTGTTAAAAATTTTAATTTTTGCGACTTGTTGCATTAAAGATTTATAGAGAAAAGAAAACGAAACTTTTTCGGAGAAAAATCAAATTTTTTTTAATTCTATTTGAAATATGATTTGCAATGTAAATACATAATTAGTTTCTATGCGGTAATTGAGGACTTACGGGACAGTTTGTGGTTGATTGTATTGCGTCGAGGTGCTGATATAATTTGTTTCCTTGCAGGTTGGCAATAATACCCAACAAGACAGTGGGACGAGTTTAAAGTAGGCTAGTGTGCCCATTTTAGACTAAAAATATTAGATTTATTAATATAACAAATTAAAAAAATTGGATAGTTGCCGTCGTCGGGTTACCGCCCTTAGTTTGTATAGCACTCTGAGCTGTGGAGTCTCGGGGACCAACGTCGAGCTATTAATTAATTAGCTTTAGGGTGTTTCGTTAAACTTAACCTCTTTGTTTTTCGATCTAACGTAGTTGGGCGACCTCATGTGATAGGACTCGGTGTTGGTCCCCCCCAAATATGGACCTTTCGAGATGTGATCACCGATCGGGGCCCTAAAACGACGACGGTTCGATTTCGAGACAGTCTCAGAAGTTGGTTTTCGTGCAGTGTTTTAACACGAGAAAAAAAAAACACTAAATGTTAGATTCTCTATTATATGTTACGAAGGAATACTAAAAAAAAGATTATTTATTTTTTGTCGTTTTTAAGTTGTTGCTATAATATAGCGTGTACCATATTGGTTAAATTTTTTCATCCTTCGAGGATGCGCCCGGAGCGACATCGGAACGCGCGCCGAAATGCGAGGTTAGGTTTTCGATCTCGCTCGGGGCACGTTGTTTTTTACTTCTCAAAGGTTAAGAGGGCACCACATTGTTTTCTTTTTTGTGATTATATTAAATATTATATGAAATGGCGTCGCCGGCAGCCAAGCTGTCGTCCCGCGGGACGCCGCCGCTCTGTGATTTTTCTATTGTCTTTGTAAAGAAAAAAAAATTAACGGGAAAACCTTTACACGGTTTATTATATTTTTATTATATTTATTTATTCGTTTTATTTTTGTGACTTATTGTTCTTGGGTTTCTGTTCACTTTTTTTTCTCCGGTTTTTGACGATAACATTCGCCGGACGGTGTTTCTGTTTTTTCGGTAAGATTCTCTTAAAATGTTGACAATGTATAGCTATACCGGGGGAGACGTGAGAGATTGATAAGATTATTCTCACTGCCAAAGTTAAGTGCTTTTTTAGTGACAATATTTGCTTTCTTTTTTTTTTGTTTCGTTCGTAGGGCACCTTGTCATACTTTCGATTGCGACCGGTTGAAATTATAGTAAACTATTTATTTTAGTGATCCGAGATAATGTCTGCGGTCTGATTTGTTCCTCATACCAAGGCGTGGTAAAAATAAAATTTGACGATTATGAAAATTTCGTGTGTATATACACTTCTTTAATTTGTTGTGTATAAAAGTTCACGGTAACGATAGTTGTTTTTTTGTGATATAGTTACGCTCATATTTTGCTCCGTCCTGGCATGCTTCATACCAGGAAACTGGTTTTCACTAAGGATTACTTTGGCCATTAGGCTAAGTTTGCTTTTAACGAGTTGAAATTGAGCTACGATTTCCGCTATCGATGACATATCAAAAAGTTTTAAGTTCAAAAGATCTCAAGTTGTTTGTCCATTGTCAATAGAAATATTTTTTCTAAAGATTCGAGAAATTGGTTGACTTTAGCAACCAATTAGCAACCAAAGGTTCAATGTTCACATAGGCATGTTTCAGATCTGAATACTATTGGCTATTAGTATATTACGACCCGTTATTCTGGAAGGTTTTACTCTAATCGTAACGATTAGAAAACCGACCGTGTCCCTTCTCATCCCTTATTAAGGTTCGATGAAATGATGCAGACATTAAGAGCAAGTCGTTTGGGAACTGGAGTCATCTTTCGTAGTGTAGAATAAAATCGAGTTTGTTAAACAGAACTGATTTTCAACAATTTGTCAGCTGACGATCGCAGGTCGCCAGCAATGGGCAAAATATGAGCGGGCGTGTGATGTATTACGATTAACATTGGTAATTTCAACTTGTTAACTATGTGTGTATTGAAGCTGTTACACGGAATTTGAGGTGGTGCCCCGCCCCACACAGTTTACGTATGAACTTACAACTCTTGGTTGATTTAAACGATGACGGGTCTGTTTTTCGATTCGTTTTAAAATAAGTGAAGCAAACCAAAAACTACACTAAAAATTGTGATTAGTAAATTTCTAACTGCGTACCATTGTGCTATTTCATATATATTTTTGTTTCGGGTCGTACGAGAAAAAAAAAGTGTTACACACACATTTTTGCGTTGTTTCGAATTTTTATAAATATGTATAAAAAATTGCGTTATGCCTTTAGAGATGTTTATTTTCCGTAGACTAGTCAGTTTTCGAATAAGGGTTTGGCGGATAATTAATTTGCGTTTAAAATTTTGCTCGCTTGCAACGTCGACGGCGGTGTTGAGGCGGGAAATTGTATTGTGTCCGGGCAGGCTTTCAGTTTCGATGAGTATAAATCATAAGAAAACTAATAATAATGAGGGTAAATATCGGAACCGCATCCGCCAGCGCCACCGCGATCCCCTGGACCAACCAATTTTCTGGTGGCGGGAAATTTCAATAAGGACGGTTGTATTACAGTTATAGAGAAAAGTAATAAAAATGCGATATTTTCTAATTAACATCGCTTTGTTTGAAAGATAAAAAATATAAAATTTAAAAAAAAACAAAATCCTAATTTGGACTTAAAATTTCTTCATAAAGTTGGTTCACGAATACATTTGAGGAAACCTTAACATATTATAATTAGCGTCATACAAAAAAAATTGTTAATTTATTTTTAAAAATTCGACCCTTAAAGTGTTTACTTTAAGCTTTTGGTACAAACAAGGAAATAGTGGACTCTATGATTAGAGTTATTACCACATCTTCTGCACTTACTGCTTCTCTAAAAATTTTTTCATTGTCTGAGCTTTCATATGTTTAGCTAAATAAGGACTATTATGACCAAACAACAAAAACACCCAAACAACCTTTAAATACTATGAGTTCGTAGAATTGTTTAGTGACAAGCTCGTTTTGAGTGTCCTTGTCAAAGGTTTATTAGGCATTTTATTTAAATATAATAACTTCGCTGACAATTAATCTACCTTTATTTGGAGTTTCGATTCACTTTCCCTCACACGTAAAAAATTAGTATATGTACAAGAAAACGATAATAAATAAAATTAACTTTGTTTTCTTCTTCTATCCCAGCTAGCCAGATAAAGACGGAGAGTCATGCGTTAGTCGTAACTCGATTTGTTCAAATTCGGGACGTCTGAGACCTCGCTCTCTTTTTATTGGTTTTCTTTATGGTATAAATATAAAACATAATTCGTACCTCGTTTGTGTTAATTATGAGAACCCCCGACGGCAACGGCGACGTTACGTGTTTCTCCTCCTTAATGATCGTACAAAAAAAAAACAAAGTACAACAACGCACGTGACGTCACGTTGTCGCCGGTCGTTTCCATGTGTCGCCCCGCGATTTTGCAAGCGTTGAAACTTGCGGAAAAAGAAATACAGAACTATAATAACAAAGATTATTTAAAATTGAAAAATAGCTTTCTAGAAATTATATACGATATGATATATATTAATTTGAACCGTCCGGGATTCGCCCAGGAATTAATTCAGTTATGCACCGATTAACCTTTAGGCAGTGTACGGGAGTGGATACACACACCCTAACGATTCGACACCGCCCCGTACGCGTTTCCGTTTTCACCGTCCCGGGGGCGGATTCCGGACCTTTTCCACGGATACACATCCGAACTTTTAAAAGTACGAATAGATGCCATCCAGAGGGTTTCTTTGGTTTGTCGGTTTCCGTTCCACGAATCATTTTGGATTTGTACTTTTGAAAAGTTTCTACATTTCAAGAATTATATTTAAAGTAAGATTGTAGAATTCTACTTATGTTTATGGGATGAACATATTTAGAACATGGCTGTAATTGTGATGTGGCCGGTGTAACGGCTTCAGAACGGGGCGTGTCAAGACTTGAAGTCGGCAAAAATGCGACTAAAGGTGATGCGAAAACCTTCCAGAGAAACTTAATGTTACAGTGTCCATTTCTATTAAGCAGATCTTAAACGTGTACAGCTTGTTTTATTACTAATTGAACGTAGGTTAACTGGATAAAAAAATAATTGTAAAATGTAGTCTCGCATCTCTTTGACATAACAATCTGCGTTCAGTAAAAACTAGAAAAGCATACAAATCAAAGGCAATCGACAATCGAAAAACTACTTAAATGGTTTTCGAGAAATACAATTTTTTCCTTATTGTTTTTAATTGAAAACAGATTGAGTACATGGTACAAATATATTAAAAGTTTTTGAGGGAGAAAAAGGCAAAATGTTCGATGTTGAGGTTATGTCATGATTTCTGCTCTGGAACCGGCTTTGCACATCTATTATTGTGATATCGCCATTCACACAACTTGAATTAACCAAAACCGCTTGATTTTTAAAGTGATAACTTAAAAAAATGTAAAATGGTAAAAAAATGGAAATTCGACTCTTTGAACACTCCAAAAGCCATAATTTTTAATGAAATATTTGGATATGAAATATGTTCAGTTTTTTGAAAGGTTGTTAATTGGTGCCAAAGTTACATGAAGAAGTTTTGTCTAAATCAACAATCCAATAAGATCCACGAACTATTTTGCAATTTTTCCACTTTCCCGTTTTATGGGTCAACAAGACAGAGAATGATCCTCAAGCAGGCCTAGAATTACTAATCGCGACAGCGTACGCCACTGCCTGAAAGCGCGTCAGCCACATCACCGTGTATAATAGATTAAGTAAAAAGTGTTTGATTAAGGGACTTTATTGGTAAAAAAAATAGATGTTAATACTAGTTAGAGGCAGAGAAGCTGCAATTTTGCATTTATAACAACGTCCTCACAGTTTCTTTCGATTCTTCTTACCTTCGGGAGTTTTATTTTTTAGCATGCGGTCCCGTGATTGGCAAATAGGGTTGAATGATATATATTTTTTTAAATGTAGGTTAGCTTGTCAGTATTATTTGCGTTATTGTTTTGCGTAAAGTTTCCTCAATCGGGATGTTGTTATAAACGAAAATTTTACCAGAAAAATTTGGTGTTTTATGAGTTAAACTAACGTTTCAAGAAAAATGAAGAGCAAAAAATGGGGAAACTCACCTACTTAGTTTAATTTCGATAAGAAAATTAAAAATGAATCACATTCACGAAATTATCGAGACCGTTCGGACTTGCTGAAACACACTTATTATTTATACATTAAAATGTTTTTTAAAACATTTTGTCGGTTACAAAAATAAACGTTTATAAAAAAGCATTCCGAGGTTTTTATTGAAGCGCAGTTGTCTTTTCCTCAATTCCCTGAGCCACAAATAAGCGGTTTAGAGAAAAAAATTGTCAACAAATATATACTCCTGTTTAATCATATTGATTGTCCACATAAGATGTCACTAATTTATATTTTACATTCTTCAATAACTTCAACAAATAAAAGTTTTAACCATATTTATTTTTATTGGATTTGAAAACTGCTGCAATCAGAGTCTTTATCATTGTCACTTTCAATTAGATTTTTTTAAAATATTGCTAGTGACATTAATGCTGCGATTTTTAAAACCGTTTTTTTTTGCTATCGTTGATTGATTCTCATTTGCATCTGACCAGATACTACACAAAATTGCTGAACTTACTGATATGCACCGGGTGAATGCTGGGCATTAATGTTAAATTTCTAGAATGGTCGCCAGGGGGCGTAATCGCATTCTTTAATTTTAAATCCCGTTTTTTAAGAAATCTTATATTACAAATAAATAAAACGAAGTTTTTAAAACACCCTCTAGCGGTGATACAAGCAGTTCAAATTAATCTCCCCAGATGACCATTCAAGAAACTTTTAACTTAATTTCCAGCATTTTATCCTGACTGCATTTTTAACCCCAAAAACTTTTCGAGATAGGCCAGAGTGTCTTTTTTAATTGGCCACCCGGTAGATCCTATAATTGAGAAGGTGATTTAGGTAAAGAACTTCACTTATTCAATAGTCATATATTTTCAATATAAACAACAAAAATGTCACAAACATAAAATTTGGTGGTGTAAATGCGTTCTTTGTAAACAAAAAAAACTCGACAAAAACAATCAATAACAATAAACAATTGATAATAAATTAATAAAATTAACAAATATATAAAGTTTGGCAGTTTGTCCTTAACATTTTTGTTGATCAATGTAAAAAACTTCGGGAATGTGTAATTTTTTAGTACATTAAGAATATATTGGAAATGCCCCTCGAAATGCAATAAAGCAGTACCTACAGCTAGGATCCCTGATACGAAGTTCAAATAGCTTCTATGGCCAGATTTTGTTGAATACTTCCATGAAGCTGTCATATATCACGAATGTGATGGCAACGTCTAAACAAACCCTGCCTAATCTAGGCACAGTACCTTTGTAAAAGGCCCACGCGCCCTCATTTTTCCAGATCTGGATAGTACAATCCAGGGTATTTTTGTACTTGGAGGCTTCGAGTCCCTGCATTCTGGTTTTCACTACGTCCAGGGGCGTGTTACCAAACACCGACGCCGCACCTTCAAACGAAATCAGATGCGTCATGAATCCCCACACTTCAAATTAAAAATCATTTACCAGCGACCGCGCCAAATAGTCCCACCAGCCACTTTGGAACCTTCTTTTCTTGATCCCCGCCCTTGTACAAGTCTTTAAGACTTTCCATAACGAAAAATCTAATTGCCTGGTTGCTACCCTGTTTCATTATCGTCGCCGTCAATCCCTTGTACACTCCCCCGATCCCTAACCGCATACATCTACGGTAAGAAAAGGTTCACCCTCGGAACGGCAAAAACTCACCCTGTTCCTTTATGATGATGCCGACGCCGTGAAAAAAACCCTTGAACCGCGGATTGGCGCTCCTTTGGTCGTTAATAAATTTTACTTTGACCGTTTCCATGGGAGTGACGGCGAAAATAGCTTCCGACACACCTGCTCCAAGACCACACAACAATCTACCCCCCGGCGATAAAGTGCCATCGGGCTGTATCATCGCACCCTTGAACGTTTCAAAGGCACCAAATCTAGGAGGGTGAAGCCATTTTTATGCACCAAGGTCTTATTAGTTGATATATAGAGGTCTTGACCATTGCGATAATAGAGGCACTTTTGAAGTCCGGTAATAATACCAGTGATTTCAAATTAACCAATAAGACGGCGTGAAAATAGTGCAAAGTTCAAGTTCGTGTGTGAATTTCAGGGGCATGCCCAAAAATCTTATAGACCCCTACATGTGTTGAAGTTTTATAGAAAATTGCCTGTATTATCAGCATAAGTTTCTATATATCTAGCCTCTATATGGAAACACACAGATTTTTTTTTGTCCTCATGTCCTAAGCATCAGATAACACAAAGAGTATCAATATTTCACCTTCAATGAGTTTAAAGGTTTTTGTTTATGTTGCCTAACATCAAATTTCCTTTAATAATTTTATTAAATAATTAGAAAGTCAGTGCAACATAATTGTCATTAAAAACATCCATCCTTTTATGTCGGCTAAATTTTTGGTTGATAAAAAGTGTCATATGTACCTTACAGCACTTTTGGGAATTGAACCATACAGCAAGACACTTAAACCCCTATAAAGCCCAAAAAATCCATGACTTTTCACGGTTTTCTTGACACAGTCTGCAATGCCATTGTACTTCTTGGCAGCACCTTTTTCATCAAGTTGGAGTTGAGTTTTGACATATTCTGTAGGGAAGGTTATGCATATTTCGATACCGCCAGTGATGCCACCTAAATCAAACCTAGTATACAGTAATGGACAGGTTGGTAGATGAATTGTTGCACCTTACCGGCTATGACGCCTTTTACACCTTTGCTAGAGCCACCAGCAGCGGCCGCGGCTCCGTTTTCCCTAAGCCAAGGTCGTCGGAAGGGATATACGAAATGGGGAGCAACCGGATCCATTTTTAAATCTTACGGCCACCAGGCACATGTATACTAAAATAATATTTTATCCACGATTTAATCACGCTATATTACACAATAGAAAAATGAAGTTTATTTTAGATAATACTTATGCAAACTTATCTTGTTTGTACGCACCTTAAAAGCTAAAACTAATTAAATACTAATATCTGCTCTAGTAAAATTTACATAACAAATAATGCCATCAGTGAAAGGCTAAAAAAAGTATTTATCGAGAAATGCTCAAAACATTTGAAGGACGCTAAGCTACTTGACCTTTACACGATTCTAGCAATAAATGAACTGCTTAGTAGCGTTATTTAATTATGTGCATTTATCGGAACCTATTAATATTCTGTTGTAATTTTACGATATATTTCATTTAAGGACGGATGTAAAAACTTATATATCGCAATTATCTTTTAAATGTATTTTCGAATGCCAATATCAAAATCAAACTCGAAGATATAGAGCTATAAGATAACATGTATGTGTAAATCAAAATGTTCTGATAGAACAAGAAGCAACAACTTTAATCTCCTTATGACAGCCTTGTTTATGTACAAACTCGGTAAAAATAACAGTCAGATGGAATAATCACTGCCAAACTTACCAGTGGTTCGCTTTCAAATGTGCAGAACCACGAAAAACATGATAAATCTACAAAACAATCGCTTAACCACCACTCTAAAACGTCAAACGAATTATAACCTTAAACGGTCATTTCCATCAGCAGGACAGGCTTCGGCCTGAGTCAAAAAAATCGTCTTCTCCAAATAATTAGACGTGTACCATTGACAGTAAAAACCATGCTCTATTCTTTCTGCTGTTCAAAAATGAAGCAGGAAAAATTAGTGTGCACTAAAAAATCAAAGAATTCAGCCAATAATTATTTTTCCATGGCTCATCTATGATCCACGTGCATACCGTTGAGGTTATGTGTGATTGTTTTATTTTGGTTTGTAAGAGGCTCTTCGAATTACTGAGAGTTAAAGTCAAGACAAAGTCATGTCTCGTCCAGAACACTTGGCTCCTCCCGATATAGTAAGATTAGTAAATTAATTGATTTAGATTAAATTTGATTTATATTATTTTAAGTTTTATAATGAAGAAGAAGCTAAGAAATATACCCAGAAGTAAGTAAAACATCTTAGTATATATTAATTTAAATTAAGTGGATTATAGTTCCAGAATCATTGAGATTCAAGAGCAGATGTCTGAGAGAGCCATAGAACTATTGCTTTTGCCTGAAGACACTTCTTGTTTTATCTTAGATATTGGTTGTGGGTCTGGATTAAGTGGTAGTGTTTTGGAAGAGCAGGGTCATTTTTGGATAGGCCTTGATATTTCTACTGCTATGCTAGATGTAGCTATGGAGAGAGAAGTGGAAGGGGATTTAATCCTTTCTGATATGGGCCAGGGTTGTCCTTTCAGAGCAGGTGATGGAATTTTCTGAAATGTTTAGTTTCAAATATATTTTGGTGTTTAGGGTCTTTTGATGGAGCGATTTCAATTTCTGCACTTCAGTGGTTGTGTAATGCAGACAAAACATCTCACAAACCAATACAGAGGCTCGGCAAATTTTTTAGTACCCTGTACTCTTGTTTGGTAAGAAATAATTCAAATCAAATGTTACACATGTCAATGCAATATGCTTTAGAGTAGATCGGCAAGGGCTGTATTTCAATTTTACCCAGAGAATGCTGAACAAATGGAACTTGTAACATCCCAAGCAATGAGGGCTGGCTTCTATGGGGGAGTGGTTGTAGATTATCCCAACTCGACCAAAGCCAAGAAGTTTTTTTTAGTTCTGATGACTGGTGGCAATGTACCATTGCCTAAAGGTTTGGGAGCCGAGGGAAACTCACAAAGTGTCAGCTATGCAACGCGAGAAAGAGCAAAACAGCAGAAGGGGAAGCCATTGAAGAGTGTGAAAAATTGGATTATGGACAAGAAAGAGCGAAGGAGAAAACAAGGGAAAAATGTGAGGCCTGATTCAAAATACAGTGGCCGAAAACGAAGCGGAAGATATTGATTATTTGTATATATTCAATATATTATTTTTTGTCTCTTTGCATAATTTTACCTTCTTTCAATCAGATTAATTTATTATATTATGTTATTTTATAATCTGACCCCTAAAATATAATATATACTAAGAAGCTATTCCCTATCCACATCATAGGTTTATTCAATATAATCAATTATTATTTTTTGTCTCTGCATGATTTTACCTTCTTTCAATCAGATTAATTTATTATATTGTTATTTTATAATCTGACCCCTAAACTATAGTATATACTAAAAAACTATTACCTACCTACATCATAGGCTTATTCAATATAATCTGGAAATAATTAAAAGTTCACCTGTCCATGCAAAATCCTCGGTGAATTAATGGTTGCATACAGTAACAAAAAATCACGGTGGACGGAAGTCCGAATCTTTTTCATACAAGTTTTTCGAATTTTCTTTATTTGACAATGTTGAATGTTAAAATCTATTGCCAAAGAGTTATGCGATAGGCACACTATCATTTCTTTAATGGAAAATATGGTTCTCGAGTTTAATTTTATTCATGAAATTACAAAGTTTAAAGTACCAAACAGCCAAGAACCATTTTCAGCTCCTTTCAAAAACTGAACTGAAGTGAACTGAAATCCATTTAACACAATTAAATTAGAACAAAAAAGCTTTAGAATTGAACAGTGGTTCATTACTATATCTACAGCTTCTTCGACAACGCCGTGCTCTTATCAAATTACAATTCTAATTTTTATCCACGAAGTTATGAAATCCCTTGTAATCGTCTAAAATCTTTGCGGGTACAAATTGTATGTAATATGTATATATGCGGCGTAGTAGATAAACATTTCATAGGTCAGGTTGGCCGAGCGGTCCAAGGCGCCAGATTTAAGCTCTGGTTCTCGAAAGGGAGCGTGGGTTCGAACCCCACACCTGACAAAGCATTTTTTTTCTTGTTAAAATTACATTTTTTCAACAATTTTATTTCTTAATTCAAGTTATAAAGTGCTATTTTAATGAAAATTGGGTATTATTTGATATTTTTATTGGTTTTAATCACTTTCTTTATAAATGTATAGAATTTTAATTGTATTTTTCCTACTTAAAAACTACAAACGCAAAACAAATAAAAATCAGCTTGAAAAATGTAATTTTTATTAATGACATCAAAGTTAACTCTGCCTAACTTCTCCAGAATAGGGTGTGTAAAAAAAACATTCAGATACAAGATTCCTCAGTTTTCCGCGGTTAACGATAATTGGTTGGAACATACATTTTCTGGGGCAGAACCATTCGCATTTATCTAATATTAATATTATGGCTAAAATCACATCATGTTCTTGCTACATTACAATTATTTATACCGTTGCAAACGATCTCATTTCCTATCTACATGGAGGCGTTGCAATTTAAAACCTTCACTTCGTTAAATTGCAAAGAAACTCTTAAGACAGTTTTAGCATATAAAACAAATAAAAATAATGACCGCATCACATAGATCTGCGCCAAATGAGTGGTAAAAAGGCGCCTGGTTTTAAATAGTTTATTTATAGTGAATTCCATTAGCTAACAGAGGATGACAATACATCAGTGCGCACTTAATCTGTCCCCTTATAGTTTTTAGTGAGCGGGGAGGCTTTATTTATGTTGGTTACCGTTTTTTGGAATATAAAATGCGAAATATAAAAAAAGTTAATTAAATAGTTAGTTAATAGTCCAACAGTGTTGCGTTGTTTCTGTTTTAAAAAATCACAAAAACAGAGCTGACTAAAAAACAACGGCCCATATACTGTGCTTCCATGATGTTCGCTACATAGGGCAAATTTTTTTGTGTGATCGCTGTGAAGTTGTCATTTAAACAAGGTGTTTCTAATCACATTTTAGAGCTGTGTATGCAATTTTGGGACGAAACCAGTAGCGATCGTGCCTACAAAAATTTATATCCCTTACAAATACCACCACGAACATTATGGAGAGCGATGTTATTGACTGCTGAAATGAATACAATTCTTATCGACACGTTACTCATTAAAGTGAATTCTCAGAACTGTAAATTGGAAAATAATTCTATACAATATGAATACAGGATTATAAATAAGGACCTATCCGGTTGACGCAGGAAAATCTATTAAAAACTTTTAAACGGCTTCGAGTAGCTATTTAAAATTTGGAAAGCTGTTTTTATTTGCAATGTTTGATTTGTTTCTTATTTTTATTTGATGAGGAAAATTTTAATCAATATTTTTGATAGGAAATTTTCTAAATTGAATTCCGCTTATCTAGTTTATTAAATAAGTCCTACGCAGAGCGAGAATAACATTTTTTTAAACCGGCACTTTTTAAATTTGTTTGAAAATAAACTCGCACGAAGAAAAAATCACGCCAGTCTTTTCGATTGGAAATTATGACATATTGTACAATGTTAGGTAGTTAAACGACCAATTTTTAAGAAAAGACTGTAGTCATGGTTGCATTTTTTAAGATTGAGGGGTGGCTCTATAAATAATTAGTAAGGATTAAGAGAATGCTAGTATTTCTAGTAATCGTTGGTCGTCCTGGAGAAACTAATGATCGTTGTCCAATTAGAAATACAAAGTTTTAAGGAGGTTTAGGATTCGTATGGTGTTTTTGTGTGGTGTAAGTCGTACCGCATATCTTTTTGCTGTCTATCTTTTATTACGCGTTCGATGTACAGGTTATAATTTTTTTACTTCCCCTCAGATTTCTTTCAAACGGATTTATAAAAGTAAGTAAGATTACCCATTAAAAAAAGAGTTACGATGGCCATTTCAAAAGATTCCGTCCGCAGCCTGAAGATGACGACACTAGCTACTGATTGTAGTTGTGCACCTCTTGATAGTTACTTATCAAAGTTTCAGCCATTTTGGACGGGTGGTTTTCACTTGTGAGTGTTTTCATGAAAATGGAAAAATTGAGTATTTAGTTGTTACAAAATATTTGTTTTTGAAAGGCAATACCCTTACGCAAATTAAAGTTGAGTTGGACTCTATGTATGGGGGCTCTGCACCATCATTTACCACAGCGAAATTTTCGGCAGCTGCTAAAGTCGATCGAATGGTGTCGAATTGAAGTTAGAGAGATAGCAGAGGTTACTATAATGTCCCAAGAACGTGTTTGTCACATTTTAAATCAAGATTTAGGCATGAGAAAGCTGTTCGCGCTGGGGGCGCCGCGTTCACTTACATTAAACCAAAACCGAGTTCGAATAAACGTTTCCAACGCTCAACAATAACCCATTAATTACTGCATGATGAAACTTGGATACACACAGTCACAACAGTGAACCGCCAAGGGGGGACCGACTCCGAAAAAAGCAAAAACTGTTTTTTCGGCTGGGAAAGTGATGTGAAAGTGTTTTTTTGGGATATTCGTGGAGTTATCTTAATCGATTACCTTCAAAAAGGAAAAACCATTAGGAAAGCATACTACACATCATTACTTGAGAAGACAAAAATTAGACAACTCAGCGGTTGCCACGACGAAAATCCACGAATAGCGGTGCGAACCGCTTGACCATCCGCCTTACTCACCGGATCTAGCCCCACGCGACTTCTTTTTGTTCAAAGGACAAAGATTTTGGTCAAATCAGGAGGCAACCTTCGTGAACAAATATTTTGCGGAGAAAAACGCTGGGTATTCCATAGAGAGTTACAAGGAGACTGTGTAGGTAAATAAAAAAAAATGTCTTGTATCATTGTTAGGTGGGAAATTTTTTAAGTGGCTCTCGTATCTTACTTTACTTACTTTATTTTATTCGATATTTGATATTGATAAATTGATAATAAATAGGAGATTGTTTCGTTTAGACAATTATACAAAATGTTTCAAATATTTCAAAACCTCACCGCAAACCGTTTAAAAGTTGTAGAGTGTCACACTGCCGAAACGTTTAACAATTACACGGTTTCGGCGTTTTCCACACCTTCTTCGTTTATGTCCTTAAATTTTAAATCGTTCCTCTGGAATCTCGTGACGAAATCGTTGACGGAATCGGTGGTTATCTCGATCCCGTATTCCATGGTAGCGTACCTCCTGCTGGGCAAGTCGATCGCTACCAGAAGCGGCACCACGTCGTCCAACCCTATCAGATCGCGAAGAATGTCAGTCGTTTCGTTCTCGGTACCGATTAAGAATTGAAGAAAGTAGTCGTCTTCGTTGCAGTTGGAAAACAGCCGATTTTCCGGCGTCGACGCGAAATTTATGTCGTTAACTTTGTAGTAATTACTGGCGGCGGGCAGCAATACTGATTCGGCGAATTGCACTTCGGTTTCCTCCGAGTCTAAGGGCAAAGGAGAAGAATTAAATGTGGCGATTGATCATTTAGTGCGACGCATTAGCTCGGTTGCTTCATTAGACATTACCCTTCTGCCAGATTTATTAAAGCTTTTCCATATTATTCCGTAATAACCCAGGAAGCAGGGGCAAGTGCAGTCATTTTCGATTTATAAGTGGTCCGAAAAACCAACCAAACAAGGATGTCTTATTAACATCATAAAAATTACCTCAGAATGCGGTCATAAAATTACTTGACTAATTTGAGATATCGACTTTAAACTTAATGATTAATTTAAACTATTATCAAATTCTTCTATTGTAAACCAGAAGATATTTAGCGGGTGCCGAAATAGCGTGTCAAAGTAATATAACTCGTTTATTATTTGTTTTTGAGAAAAATGCTAAATGCTATAGATGAGATTAAAAGAAACAATTTATAAGTTATGGTCAATATTGAGTGTTATGGCCATTTTTTCGTCAAAAATGCTTTGTGGTTAATACCCTATATTTTTGACGCCGTTTCAGACAGCTGTAATTTTATTACGCCAACAATTTAAAAAAATGGTACAGTCTATACTTGTCTTGAAGTTAGTTCGCATTGTTTATACAGGGAGAGTCAACATAAAAAAAAAAGAAAATCAAATTTAAGTCTCTGTACCTTATATTTCCATTATTATTTTTTTAAAAAGAAAGGCTCATATATATTCATTAACTATATAATTCCTCACTCAAAAAAAGAAGCAATTTAAAAATCGTTATATTTTTCGGCAGTAATGACCAAAATCTGACTTTAAGTTGACTTAAAAAAGATGTCACTTAAATGACATCAGTAGTCAAATGACTAGTTAATGACGTCATTTTGACGACCTTCTACTATCTGGGAAAGTTCTGGTACAAGAAAAATTGGAAATTAGTGGGTAAAAAATATTTGACAAATAAAAATAAATATGCATGAAATAAAAGATTTGGCTGCTACATTGGGAATGAATTTAACTACTTGTATAGAAAAAGATCACATTTTCCCCCAGTATCATCAAGTGTACCTCATTGCCCTAAATTGTAGATATATAGCACAATAATTTACCACAGTTTCACGATGGTTCATCTATAATAATCTAAACTAGTTTTTGATGATAATTTTTTATATTACGTCATAGTTTGTCAAAGAGTTCCCTTATTAGGATATATAAACCTTTAGTATCATCAATTTTATCTTATGGTATATTTTTTTTGGGGTGCTGCAGCGGATATGGCTCTTCAATCGCTAGAAATAAGCCAGAAGCGTGTTTTGAAAATAATATTATTGAAAAACAAACTATATCCTAAAGAATTGTTTACCGAAGCGAAAGTACTAAGTATCAACAAAATCATTAAAAAATAAATATTAGAACAGTCATCAGACTATTAAGTCTCAACAAAATTCGTAAAGAAACAATTAGACATTCAGTAAAAACCAGATTTGTATCACATCAGGTCATGCCAGTACCGATGGTAAAATTTACTTCAGTGCAGAGGAGCCTTCTATTTGCAGTCTCTAGAATATATAACGCCCTTCTAGTGTATTTGCAAAATAGGGAAAATATACAAAAATTAAGAGGCTCTTAGTTGTTTAGTGTTGACTATGACATTCTAAAAGTGATAAATTAGCTGTGAATAAAATTAAGTGGGTGATAAGTTGCGATTTAATTTAATACTTTTCATAAGTTCATAAGTTTTCAATTCGAATATCAACATGCATTAGACTGAACAAATGCACGCACAAATTTCTCAAATTCACTACGCATTTGATATATATTTTTTTGAATCTATTATCTAATTGCTGAAATAAATGTTATTATTATTATTATTATTATTGTTTTTTTTCAAAGAAACTTCCACAGGCTACTGTAATACTTTTTACAAAACTTCTGGATTCCTCCTGAGACTATTTCAGTCAAGCTCTGAAGAAGCCAACAGGATGATTGGCGAAACGTCATCAATTTCAACTCAGCAAAAACCGACGCAGGAGGAATCCAGAAGTTTTGTAAAAAGTATTATTATTATTATATTCATTTCTTGTACTAAAAAAAACATTGGTTTCTTGTACAATAAACAAGTGGTTGGTTCTACTATTAGGATTTAATGTTAAATATGTTAAATGGGTTAAATATAGAGTAGGGCATTATATAAAATTGTAAATAATTTACTACCATAACACTTAATTTTATACCTGGAAAAGTTATATAATAACTGCGATAGTTTCTGTCATTTTAATCCACTACTGGAGATACCTAGTGTAAGGTTATTTAAGAAAACAGTGTTGGAATATTTACGCAATTCGTTAAATTATTAAGATAAGCAGTAAATGTTATTTGCTAGTCAATGGCCAAAAAATATTAATAATGATATAGAAGCGCCTGATCTAATACTCCGTTGAAACATGATTAAAGAGATATGAGACATAGATTTTGTTTTCTACCAATAAGACCTTGCGGCATTCAACAGGGAGGCTGACAATTAGTGAATTTCATAGTTTTCAGTTTGACCATGGAATTTGTTCCACGGTATTTTCTGAAAATACACCCATCAAGCGAAGTAGCGGACGAAATGGTGATAGCGCTCCACCACACTGTTAATAAACTATAAGCAAGTTTCGCCGAATATACAAATATTCTCTTATCTGTTTTACGAAAAATCATGTTTACGAGCGTAAACAACGGCGAACGGTTGCTGTTTGTTGTCGAGTACCAACAGCAGTGTCGTCGCCGCTTTTTTGTTCGATACATCGCGGGTTGCATTAGGTGGAGAGAAGTTGGATTTGCATCTATCGCTGGTAAGTATCGTACTAAAATTTGTCTCAACTTACCGACGAACAACGCTATCGCTGGGTAATCGTGCAGTTTCGTTAAAAACCTATCTGTCAAAACGTTGACTGGGCGTGGTTTCCATGGAAAATTCTGCAACTCAAAGAGTATTACAAAATCAATCAGAAAATTTCTTGAAAATCACCTGAGCCAGAGGATCTTCGGCTAGTTCCGCGCGAGCGTCCATTGTTATCACGTGACCGTTGCTGTCGAGTAGAAGCAGAGTAGGGATTCCCCTGATACCATACAACTGGGCCAGTTCGGCCCTGACCGAGGCGTGCTGAAACGGCACGGACAGCCACGGCATTGACTCCAAGTAGGCGTTGTACGAGTCGATACTCCTGTAACGTCATAACCATTCGTAAAATTTAAGGTTGTCAATTTTGAAGATGAATTTATCCAAAGCTGTTATTTCTGAGCATTGAAAAGGACGAAATATTGCTCTGTCCCTGTCACTTTTAGGAAAAATAAATGCTATATAGACAAAGATATTAGCAGAGAGCAGAAGCGCATTTAAGTAACTTTTAGGTGTTAGGCAGGTATTTTTATGCTGGTGACAAACCAAAATGGAGCTTTAATCGACCTTGCATATTTGGCCATTTTAAATATTTATCTTATGACTCGTATGGTCCCTTTGGTTTAAGGTTAATATAAAGCAAACCCAAGAATTTAATTTTTTTGCACTTTTTTAGAGTGAGGATCAAGACAACTTACAGAGTAAGATAACGAGAGACTCATCCAAGAATATACGCTTCTACTAATGTTTCTAGAGTTTCAACATTTCGCTCTCCATGTTTAAGACCTGGGCTCAAATACCAAAAAAGAATAATTTAACCAATTTAACCAATTAGTAATTTTACTTTTTTAATGTATTCTATTGGATGCAAATACATTATTTTTACAGCTTAGTCGGAATTTTTGATTTTGCTGTCAACCACACAGTTGCAAGAGAATGAACCAGAAACACAGTATACAATTTCTCATATTTTTGGATTTATATAAAAATTACAAGAAACAGGTCGGAACTTAGATAAGGAATCTGAAGCTTCTGAGCTTCAATGTATCATCTAAGAATAAAGAATTTCATATATTTTATAATCTCTCACACAAATAAATTTTGGCTTCATATATTTCACTATTATTCTTGTCTGGTCATTATTTTTAGTCAAATAAGCTCATAGATTCGCACTTCGCAGTGCTTATTGGGACCATAAATCGCATTATAGTAATTCTGTGGTAAACCGTTCGAAAAACTCTTCAACTAAATTAAGGTGCTACCTAGCATTAGGTGGCTCCTAAAAGTTTTAGTAGGAACGGCTGGGAAAGATTTTATCTTTACTAGAGCTCAAAACTGTTCTTTCGCTTATTTCGTAAAGTAGAATATGAATTAATTTTTTTGTTTTAATTTTTCAAAAATCAAACAATAATCGTATACATTACGAACAGTTCGTACCCACGGGATCGTAATCTAAGGTTATTTGTGCTCTACGTTAAATGTCGTCGTGACGCCGATGCCGAGTGTGTTTGTTTTGTCCCGTGTTTCGGATTACGTCAAACTCACTCCCCGCGCCCGAACGCGAGGGTGAAATTAACCCCTAAATTAACCATGTAGAATTTAACCCGGCACGGAAGCGGGCACGACGAGTTTGGATATTACAGTCGATTTTATTGCTTCGTTCTTTGTTTAACCGCTTAACTCGTTCGCAGCGTGCATTCATTTATTTTGCGGCACTGGCGCATGCGCCAGTTCTCATCGTATACTTATTGACAAGATGTTGCTAGTCAAAACAATTCATTTTTATAAGAAAGAACAACAGTGAAGAATATGTTGGTTATAGAATATATAGGATTGTGATAGAATTAATCACATTAACGAACTCTGGTTTTGTAAAACACTTTTTTTAATAAAAATGTATCAATGAATTACATTTAGCTTTAATACCGCCCAGATGTTTTGCGTTTTAAAACTACCGAGAAGCTCTTCCACGAAGTTCCAACTTATTTCGCATCGGATTTCCGAAAATTATATTTCCCCGCAAAACATTCATAATACTTACTTAATGTATTTCTGAATGTTATTGATAATTTATTTACCAATGAATATTAGGAATTAGGAAAAGCAACTTGCACCTGTCGTACGTTATAATATGACAGAATAGCTGATATTCCCATTTGACAATACAAAATAAAAGTTGTCCCATCAAATATTCAATACCCATTTAGAAAAGAGTTGTCAATGGGAATAATTTAAATATAATTGCTGTTTTTTACAAATTTATAACTTTTTACCGTTTAGCCTTTCAAACGAACCATTTTTTTAAATCTAACTTACAGGAACTTATGACACAACTATGAAAAAAAATTGCCAGATTTAAAATCTCGTTTTTTACAAATGACGTTGTGGAGTTCAAAATCCAACACGGGCACAAACAGAAGGTTGACTCTCGCGAAAGCTGTGACGTTTCACAAATCGCGACTTCATTTGATACAGAGAGAACGCAGCTCTAAAATTCTGTGTTGTAAATTATGTTATTTATGCTAATTGAGTGAATAGTTGTATAAATTTATAAACATTTTCTGTGGAACTAAACACATACGAACAGCCACTGATCTTAAGCAAAGCTTAAGATCAGTGGCTGAATAACGATCGAATGTTTGCGGTAAATTTTAGCAACGAATGGTATTTTGACGTTTGTCAGTTCTGACGGTAACGTCACACGTTACTCAGCAAAATTTACATTTAACAAGGGAGACCCACTTAAATCCAAGTTCTCATTAGGTAATAGATTCGAATATCTTATTTTTTGCTTTTTGAATCATTATGTAAAACCTCAAAATTATCGTCAAACTTGTACATTTCTGTATTTAAATGAATGGTATGATTAGAATCCGAACTTTCTTTTCTTTCTTTCTTTATAAATGCGTTTCTTCAATGATTTACATGTTTGTCCGATATAAATTTTGATCCACATTTCAACAAGTGTTAAAAGCAATATTGAGGCCAAATTTAGATAGATGTTTCGAAACTTTCTCCCTAGGTTCTCCTATGTATTTTATTGTTTTGTAAATTTTAGTTTCGGTGTTTAATATGTGATGCATAGAGTTCATAGTTATTTGACACTGTATTTAAGTTACATTTCTATCCATCAACCATTGTTAAAAGCTATTCGTTTAATAATATTTAATTCTTTCACAAATTTTCTGTGGTACAGTAAGCAGTCTGTGGTTAAAAGAATAAAAGGCTGTATCAGTGAGGGTTTATGGTAAATGGAAAAATCTAATTTGTTCTATAATTTAGTTCAGGAAGTTTAAAGAGTTATTTAGTTCCGTCTCTATCTTAAATTTTATACAGTTATGTATAGAGTTAATATGATTCAAACAAGACCGTAATTATGTTTCAGTTCCATTGAAATAAGCAAAAACATCTCTACGCATCTCTACCACCAAAGAAAACTTTTACTCAGATAATGTAGGATATTTTCTAAATTGTCCATGAAAATGTCTGCAAGTAGCAGACGACGTGGATTTCGCATAATTAATCCTTCTTTAGCAATATAAAACTGACCATTAAATTGAAAATAATTTTGGTTTAAGCAAACTATTAAATTATCTTACAAGTCTTATTTTGATATGATATGATATTCCAAAATCGTTATTAATCTTGTTCAAAGTTTAACTGATTGTGTTCTTACAAAAGAAACTACAGACCTAATTAGCATATCCTGTTCGTGTAATTTCATTAATTTAACTTTGGAGGTTGAGGATTCAAAATTATTAGTTGATATTTTTCCGTCATTAAAAAGTGGTGAATTACATGATGCATATGTAATTGGCTTTTTGATTTGTTCTTGATATAACTCGGTGGGATTATATTGTATACTTTGGTATATGTGTGGTTTAAGAAACTGTTTCTTGTAATATATTCTAGAGAAATATTGGCAATAAACTATAGCAGAAAAATATCTAGCAAACTTTATACCCCAACAAAAAAAGCGCTTTAGGACATAAAATACGCCCAGAAAATTTCAAGTAATTTAATAATAATTAATAACTTTTTAGGTTTTCTTTAATTGTTTATTTGAAACGATCCAGAAGTCATAGGACAAGGTTTATTCGAGAAATTAAAAAAATAAAATTATTAAACATCGATTTTAAATTGCTTAAATTAATTTTTAAAGTCATTGTTAATTTTTTGTTTTAAACAAATAATTCATCGGAAAATTAGTTTTCGAAACGGCGATAACTGCAAAATAAATTTTAATTCTACTAGGTTAATCGTATATCAAGACGTAAATTTGAAACAAAAATATGATGTCGTAAGCGGGAATCAATTTACAAAATGGCACAGGGCAAAAAGTAAAGCATTTCGGACCGTGCGCGTCAGCCTCGCGGCAATCGTTTTCCAGCGGGGCGGATTTCGAGGAAATTACGGCACTTATCCCGAATTTCGCGGGGAAGTTTATAGTCGAAGCAGCCGGGAAAACGGCAGGAAGTTTAATTTGCGACGGGGCATGAGCTCGCTTATTACGCTTGATCGACAAAACAGCGTTCGCTAACAGCGCAACTCCATCTCCCAATGACTACTAGGCAGGGATCAGCGTACACGTTTTTACACGAAAAAAGAAATAACTTATAAGAAGGTACAATTTTCCATCAAATATAATATGGTTATTCTATAGACAACGACAAATTTAAATTAAAAATAATAGATCACATTTTCTATATCCGCAAAATAAATAAATGAAAATTGTCCCTAAAATCATTAAGTTGCACGGGGTTATATATCATAAATAAATGTTCAAGGATAATTTATATAAAATACAAAGTCTAACCTACACAATATTTTGAATACAAATATTTAAATTTGATATTGAAAACAAGAACATCTTACACATAAATATTAGTCTTTTTATTTTCGATATTCTCGCCCATTTTTTGTTATTTATTCTTGTACATGTATATTTTGTCATATTTCGTTTACTTGTTGTTCTTTATGTATTTATATTTATTATTATTTATTATGTTTATATGTTTATTGCTTCGAGGCTTGCAGATAGAACAAATTTTTTGAGATGTTTTTTAAAAGCACTTAATGATGTTAAAATTATATTACGCTTATTTGTTTTTTAAGCTTAGTTGTTATCACATTTTCCATTTCTCTATCTCTTGTAAGAATGAATTATTTTTTGTAGGTCGGTTTTGTATTTTAAAACATTTAAAACCGTTGTTTAAAAAAATAACAAAGTTTTATTTATAGGATTGTTTTAACAAATAAAAGACAAATATGACTGCTTTTTAATAATCTACAATAAAGCATTTTAACATTTAAAAAAAATAACCG